TGGAAACTCCCCAAAGTTAGGGTTGGGGAAGGGTTTTGTTTTTGTCTTTCAGGAGAATGAAGGCTAAGGAATCTGAAGAACACTGGACAAATGAGACATCTGAAGAAAAAGGACAAATCATCCAGAAAAAATGTCCCAAGAAAAAGAGTAAATTGGCCTATTGGTATATCACATATGAAATTTCATAAGTCTTCCTAAATGTTTGTTTCTGCTCTTCTCTACAAACACTTAACACAAATGGTCTTTATGTAGTCCCAGTTCAATTGAAAATTAAAGCTGGCTTTGGAGTTGGAGCATGGCTCTCTCCTTCTCTAAATCCAAGCATGTTGTTAAAAGAAAATGTAAAGTCTCCATATCATGTCAGAAGAGCCACCTGGTATGGGACAGAAGAAAACCAAAATTAAGGGACTATTCTATTGCTACTAATCTCATAATTCTTTTGTTTTATTTTGACTTTTTAAACCTTTTCTTAAGGTATGAATTTTATATCAAAATTTATAAGATTAATATATATTTTAAACTTTTGTCATGATACTAATGGTCATATAGACTACTAACTAATCACAGAAAAAAGGTTTCATCTAGCTCCTGTACATGATTTCCGGTTTGGGTTTGTATCAGTTTTCTGCAGGGAACCATGACCATGCCTAACAGCAACTTTGAAGTCTCCAAAAAGATGATGGGACCCCACAATGAAGATTCCATAAGGACAATGATAATACCACTAAGCTGACAAACACCATCCAAACATCAGCTTTAGACTACTCAGGACAATTTTGAGATGGCTAGCTGAGATGATCCAGCTTCACAGACTATTCGAGCAAGGACTTGAGACAAGCCCTGCATTTTCCCATTATGCAGAGACTGGACAAAACAAATGATACAGCTAACTCTCCCAGGACCTGACAATTAACCCAAAATTGTTCTTTTCAGGATCCCTTAAAAATACCGTCACCCCCAGACAGCAGGAAGTAATTTTAAGTGTTCAAAGTACTGTACCTGCACAGTTCATTTAACAATGTAATGCAAATTGCTAGTCCTTGAAAGTTATTATTGAAAACTAATTAGGATATAAAGAAATGAAAGTTAGTAGTCATTACAATCGAACTTGTAGTCACATTAGGTATGTTTTCAAGGTCAAGCAGAAATATATTTTAGATAGATAGGTCATCTTCAAACACTTCAGATATCTGCAGAATATGGTATTTAAAATGTTTTAAAAACATAGATTTTATCTTTTTTATGACAATGAGACATGTCTGCTCCTGGCAGCACCAATCTATACTTCAGAGAAGATGATGGGCATCGAAGATGCTCCTTATGGAGTTTACTTTCATTGTAGCAAGTTAGCCACTGGGCAAGAAAGTGCCCTTGCCTCAACTGCTGACTGTATGCTGTCCAAAATGGACAAGCAGGACACAAAAGAAAGGACTGCTGATCCTTGCCAAGACAAAGTAGGAAGGCTCTTTAGAAAATCCTGCTTCACAGATGAGTCTGTCAGATATGCTAGGCCTGTAGGCTGAAGATGGATGCCCAAACATTGCAGAGAAACCTCAGGTGACTGTGCAGGCAGCCAGCTGTTTCTGTCATTCCTCACATTTTTTGGAAGTCGCTTGTTTGCACTTCCTGTTTTACTAGGTAATATTATTTCCTTCTTGGGTCTCTGAGGGAGTTGAAGATTTGATAGTTATAGTTTTCCTTTTTAAGAAATTCAGAAAAGAAACTCACTAAAGAGGTGTAAAGTGTATAAGTTTCAAAGAAATCAAAAGATAGTTTTTGGTTAGTAATACAAGTTAGGATAGAGTGAATTAGGTACACTTTGGACTCACCAAAATCAGATAGATAATGGAATATTTTCACTGAATTTGTCAAATGCAAATGGATTAGACATTGCTGATATATTTACTGCCTGTATGTATTGTATACAGTTATTGTACATAGTTTTTCTTATATAAGTTATAACTTTTTAAAATTTTAGACAAAAAAAGGGGAAATGTGGTGATATTTTATTTGTGCTCTAACAAATTAAGCTTGCCTGAGGATCAGAGGACAAAGCCAGCCACTACATTAAACACAGAGGTCAGGCAGTGGTAACACAAGCCTTTAATCCCAGCACTGGTTAACCATAGAGGTCTGGAGGTCTGTACAGACAGACAGGAAGTGATGTAGCTGGGTGGCAGGGCACAGGAAGGTATGTAAGGCGTGAGTACACAGGAAGTAGCTCTCCTAGGCTGAGGATTTCCTAGCGGTAAGAACTTGTAGCTGGCTTGTTCTACTCCTCTGATCTCTCAGCTTTTACCCCAATTATCTGGCTCTGGGTTTTTTATTAATAAGACCACTTAACAATTCTTGTTACAAAGACTGCCTTGCCTCTGCCTCTCAAGTGCGAGGATTAAAGGTGCACACCATCTCACTAGTCTGAAAATAGAACTTTTGCACCTGGCTTTCTATCCCTGCCTAGGTTCTCCATTACCCAGTTAGTTCCTTTTTATTGCTGTGAATCAACCACAGTTTATTTAGCCATTCACCTGTTGAAGGATATCTCATTTGTTTGGTTTCTGGCTACTATCCAAAAAAAGTGGCTATTAATATCCTTGGCAAAAGTCTTCATTTCTCCAGTATGGCAAGCCCTGAGTGGCATGGCTGCTGGCAGATGTTGCCACTCTTCTAGAAACCACACTACTTTACATTCTCACAGGCAAGCCCAGGCAACTCCGATGGAGCTGACACCTCTGCTTCACCCGCGGGGACAGGCAGCACTCACAGTGGCCTGGTGTGGATTTCCTTGTGATGAACGCGCTATTTTCTTATGTGTTCATCTATTAGTGAAACCTCTTCCACCTTCTGTTCCCTGCCACTTCCTCCTCTGTTTTGTTTTGTTTTCCAGAGTCTCTCCAGCACGAGCAGCCTCCTACCCCAGCACTGGACTTGCCTTCTTCAATACTATGGTTCATACACATGGTCTGCATCTATTTTTTGCTACTGAGTAACTTCTTTCATAAATTTCTTTTTAAAAAATTTGGGGATGGGGCTTGTGAGATGGCTCAGTTCCTACAAGCACTTGCTACCCACCCCAACGACCCTAGTTTGATCCCTAGGATCCACATGGCGGAATTAGAGAGCTAACTCCTGGTCTCTGACACTGACAGGTCCCTGCCACACACAAACAAGTAAGTGCACTTCTTTAAAAAGTCTTTTGCCAGCAAGTGTTTTTAATTTTGAAAAGATCCAATTTATCAGTTTTCTTTTTCATGGCTCCTAGGTTTGTCACAAGTCTACACACTCACCTCGCCCATACCCTCAACATTTTATCCTGGTTTTGTTCTGTTTTGTCCTTTTGGTCATGACAGGGTCTTGCTACACAGTCCTGGAATTCACTATGTAGACCGAGCTGACCTCAGATTTGCTGGGCTCCTCCTGCCTGTCCCCAGTACTGAGATCACAGGCACTGTCACCACAGCTGGCTCCAGTTCTGTTTCGTTTGTCTAAAGGGTCTAGTTTTACATTTAAGTCTATGAACCAAACCGTTCCTTAGCCCTCCCATTTCCCTACACCTCCACAGGCCTGGACCAACATGGGTCCCCAACTGCCCTCCATACTCCTCTTCTTTACACTTCAGACTTTCTGCTCTTCACAGGGGCTCTTCAAGCTTGTCTCTCCCTGCCCTGGGATGTCCTTTGTCCACTGAAAATGGCTAATTTTTTTTAGGCCTTACTCTGACATTCCCAAAGAATACATGTCCACTTAATAGTTCAAGGGTCCTGACTTCTGGAACATCTCAGCCCTCTTCATTTCTTTTGTCTACTTACTTTAACTGTAACTACCTCCTGGTGTCTCCTCTGCACTCCACCTGTGGAGGAGGGTTTACCATTTGTCACCACTGGATCTCCAAGTGGAAGACAGGACCACATGCATGAAGGCATAAGGTAACTAGCTACCAAATAAGCTGAGTGATGTTCCAGACTGCTCCTCTGTGGCCAGGATGAAGAACTGCAGCTGTGTCCACAGTCTCAAAGAGGTCAAGCCCTCCCAAACAGACCTTTCTCAAACTCCTGGAATAGGACCTATCAGATCTCAAGAGCCCAAGATACTGTCCATGCAAAATCTGCTCCTTTCTCCAGAACTAGGGCAGGGCTTCCTTCCCCACAGAGAAGCTAAAGAGCAAGGATCTGGCATGGCGGGAGCCTGTAGAAAGGATGACAGGAATCAGGCCTGCTCTGTATGTGACTTGGTCAGAAGAGCCTGATCTCAATCCACCGAGTCAAATTCCCAAGGGTCTGAGGAAGGAGAGAGAGAAACAACAGACAGTGGAAAGAACTCCAAAGCCAGAGCTCCTACCAAGGCCCCTGACTGGGTCAGAGTTTTTATGTGTGACCACTACACCATCCTGATTCTGGAGTGCTTGACAATGCCTAAGGCAGGCAGCCTGGAGCAAGCGGACTTTAGAGCTGATGCCAAGACCTACCCCTTGCCTTGGGATCCCACACGTGGTTTGGGGTAGGTCGAAGTACCCCAGAACCACAAAAAAGAATAAGATGTACCCCCATAAAGCATTACCTTTGCATCATGTACATACTTTTAAGCATCTCCAAACTAGACTAAAGCAAGGCGCTACGCTGTGTGTATATGATTATTATTGTCTTTATACAAATAAAACCTCCAAAGCATTTTGTGGCCTCTGGAAGGTCCTGTGGCGGTTTTACTGTAGAGGAGGAGTTTGAGTAAAGACCTGTGAATCAGGCTGCCCTCCAGTCTCTTCAAGTCCCTCCGTTTTGACATATTTGGAAATCTTCCAGCTGTGTCAGCAAGAACAGACGGGGGGAAACTTCTATCAATGCAGAAGTATAGGGACAAGGTGAGTGGCAGTCTCACCAACACACTCCACACAGAATCCAAGCCTGATTTCCTGACCAGGCACCAGGACCAGCCTTGACACCTGGGCCTCTGAGTACAGCCCATGGAAGGAAACCGGGAAAGCTCCTGTTGGAGGGCTTCCTTACCTCCCTCTTGAGTGGGGCCACATAGTCCCAGGAGTTGGTGGCAGGATCATAGCGTTCCACAGTATTCAGGTCATTGTGGTAGTCACGGCCTGCCACGGCGTAGATGTACTTGCCCACGACACACACACACAGATCTGCGTGCTCCTGCTGCAAGGACTGGATCTGGAACCAGCGGTTGTGCCTCGGGTCATACCTGTGGAGGACATGAGGACGGCCTATTACTAACCAGGGGAGCAGCCTGCCTTTCAGGCCTACACTTTACCTCCCACTCTTTGCTGCAGCTGGATCTAAACACCCTCCACCCTGGCAGTCAGGTCCTGCTGACCCACAGCCATGATGGCACATGGAGGTTCATGGAACAGTTTACTCAGAACATGGCCTGGAATGTAGCTAGGAAGCTCCGGAGTTTCTGCCCATGAGGTGGACCCCTTATAGGAACAACCTCTAGGGTTCCTATCTACCCAAATGCCCATCACAGGCTGTGACCACCTTCCTCTCACCTGGACTCCAGCCTCCTCCAACATTCTATTATGTGAGGTCTGCAAAGGTCACCCTGTGCACTATCACACCCTTGGTCTTACTGATAGTCATGGGCTCCCTCAGCCCCTTCAGACACCTGAAATAACTATACTGTTCTCTGACAAGTGGCCTTTCTGACTTCCCAGCTTGGTAAGTCTTCTCCACCCGACGACCCCCGCCCCCCCCATCCTTCCTGCTGAAGTGAACATGTCAACTCTCACCATGAACTGTGGTCACCAGAGAGCAGGATCCTGTGAGATTCCAAGGACCCCACTAAAGCAAGTGGAACTCACTAAAGGAAAAAGATGAGGCTGACTACATGAAGCCAGAGGATTCTGTAAGACCAGGAAAGCCACCGGGCTGAGGCTAACCTGGGGCAATCTGCAATGATGAACAGTCCAGGCAAGATGTACATGGGAAAGAGAAGGGTATGAGGAGGGAAGGAGAAACATTCACCTCTGTTAACCCCTTGCTGAGAGTGGAACTCTCAAGCACTGTTACTACAGCTTACTTTCCTGATATCAGGCCACATTATGTCACTTTCAGAGAAGATAGTGTCCCCAAGTCACAGCTTTGTTTCACTGACAACTGTAAAGAAGTTCTAGCCCTCAAGCAACAAGCATCGTCCAGGCCTGCACAGGGCCAGTCCTGTCACAGCTGCTCAGTGTCGGTCAGCCCAGGACGCTCCTCCCTTCTGATTCCCCCAGGGCACTCTCAGCTACACGGCATGTCAACTGTCACCCACTGGTCTCTACTGTATTTTAGGTCTACCTAACTTAACTATCCTCAATTGAGCCCTGCATTCCCCATGTCCTTCTGTTCCCATCAATACCAGCAAAACCCATGCTTCTATACAGACACCCATACCTGAGGCCTCCACAACCTAAATCCATCCTCATTTTCTTTCTTCTTTTGCCCACTAGGGACTGAATCAATATCCACTGGATGCTAGGCAAGTGTTCTACCACCAAGCTACATTTCCAGCCCTCTTTTTACCTTAAAAAAAAATTTAAAACAACCTTTTAAAAAGATTTATTCGCTGGGCAGTGGTGGCACACACCTTTAATCCCAGCACTCGGGAGGCAGAGGCAGGCGGATCTTTGTGAGTTCGAGGCCAGTCTGGTCTACAGAGAGAGATCCAGGAAAGGCACAAAGCTACACAGAGAAACCCTGTCTCGAAACCGCCCCCCCCCAAAAAAAGATTTATTAATTTTTTTTTTATGTACATTGGTGTTTTGCCTGCATGTATGTGCTGCAGGATGCAGAAATATGAAGTAGGAATTCAGCTGACTCTGACAAAGCTATACCTGGAAGAAGCCAAGGGCCTTTCCAGAGGTAAAGCCAAGGCTTAAGGAGTCTTGGTGATACTGACTTTTGAATATTAGCCATTTCCTGCTATGAATTACTCATGTGCTATTGTAGCTTTTCCATTCCTATAATATTATGTTTGATCATTCACTGGGTACAATCTCCCCTATACAATTGAGGGATTTGGATATACATCTCCCCACTGTACTAAAAAGCAGTCACACAGCCAGACCCCTAATTTCAGGCCTTTCTGTAATTATCGTCATTAGCACCATCCAGCCAGGACCTTCTCTGGACAAAAGTATTTTATCTGAGATACTTCTCAAACTTTCTAAGAACTGACTGCAGACAGATAAGCATCCAGATTTCTGCCTGACTCCTTCTGGTCCTCAGCACTCCGTTTCTTAGGCTGAATCTCTTTGGATCTTGTGGCTTTAGGCTTACGGACACACACACACATTCACTGAAACTATGGGTTTACAGATCTTATTCTCTCTTATCTATCTGTATTTGACCTCTTCCTCCCCACCTTCACAAGGTCTTCTTACATAACTAAGGCTAGCCTTGAACTTAAGTAGACCAAGCAGGCCTTTAACTCCCAATCCTCCTGCCTTAGTCTCCCAAACACTAGGATTACAGGTGTCCATGACTATGTTCAGATGACCAAACTCCTCTTTATTGGAATCATTTTCTGCTTTGTTTCTGTTTATATTAGTATGTATGTGTGTCCATGATTGGGGGAACAGACATGCAATGGCATATATGTGAAGGTCTGAGAACAGCTTTGTAAAATCTGTTCTTTCCACCTCTGTATGGGTTCCAGGGACTGAATACAAATCACCAGTATTATGCAGCAAGTACCTTTACCTACTAAGCCATATCATTGGTCTTTTGGGGTATTTGTTTCTTGTTTTTATATGAGAGCTCGTGAAACCCATGCTGGACTTACACTCCCTAAGTAGCCTGACTCTCCTGTCTCCACCTCAAATATTGGGATTACAGGTGTGCCACCACACCTGGTTTTAATTTTCTTCTTAGTCAGAATAGATTGTTAAGTAATATTTTTTTTCTAATTAAAAATAAGCTTCAGGGGTAGGCAAAATGATCCAGTGAATACGGTGCTTGCTGCCAAACCTGATGATTTGAGTTCTGTTCCTGGAACCATCATGGTGGAAGGACAGAACAAACTCCTACAAGTTGTCCCCCATCTCCATGTCCTATGGCGTGTGCACATGCACACACTAAATAGATGTTTAAAACATGTTTTGGGTGTACTGACGTGTACCTGCATGTGCCTGCTGAGAGGACAAAGGTCAATGCTGAGTGTCTTCCCCTATCTTTTCCACTTTATATTTTGAAATAGAGTGTCTAAAGCTCATTGTTGGCTTTACTGGCTGACCAGTGGGGCCTTAGGGTCATCCTGTTCCTGCCCCTGCCACCACATCTGGCTTTTATATGGGCACTAGGGATCTGAATAAAGGTCCTCATAGTTGTGAAGCAAGCTCTTTACAAACTAAGTCATCTCCCCAGCCCCAAATACAGTATTACATGTAAGGGTATAAATCTACTTTGGCAATTCTAATGCTATCCTGGGTAGTGGTGGTACACACCTTTAATCCCAGCACTCAGGAGGCAGGGGCAGTAAGACTGATCTCTTGAATTCAAGGCCAGCCTTGTCTATACAATGAGTTCCAGGATAGCCAGGGCTACACAGAGGAACTCTTATCTTGAAAAAAACATTAAAAAAAAAAGTATCTTAGGGTTTCTACTGCTGTGAAAAGACACCATGACCATGGCAACTCTTATAAGGAAAACATTTAATTGGGATGGCTAGCTTACACTTTCAGAGGTTCAGTCCATTATCATCATGGTGGGGAGCATGGCGGCATGCAGGTAGACATGGTGCTGGCTACATCTTGATCAGAAGGCAACAGGGAGTGAACTGAGACACTGGGCAGTATCCTGACCATAGGAAAACTCACAGTCCACCCCCACAGTGACACACTTCCCCCAACAAGGCCACACCTACTCCAACAAAGCCACACCTACTAATAGTGCCAGTTCCTATGAGTTTATGAGGGCCAATTACATTCAAACTATCACAAAGAAGAATAAATGAGAACTCAGTCTATTATGTGAGGATACAGCAAGAAAGGGTCCTCACCAGACTCAATCAGCTGACATTCCAAAATCAAGATTATGAGAAAAAGGTGTTGGGCATTTAAGTCACCTATTCTGTGGTATTTGTTATAGCAGCCAAAAATTTCCAAGGTAATAATTTTAATTCACATATATGAACTGCCAAACTATTATAAATTGAGAGGTGAAATCTAGGTTCATAGTGTACCAGAGGTCTTTGTCAAATTTAGTAAATTGTTTTTTTCTTTTGTATTTCCTTAACTGTTAGTGGTATGACAGGGTGTACACTGAAGTACTGGGGATTAACCCTAAGGTTCTGTGCATGCTATCCGAGTCCTATTACTGACCTATATCACCTCCAGCTCACCATTCTCTTTATGTTTGAAGTAAGGTCTCACTGTAGCCCCCCCCCCCCCAGTCTCTGTCTCCTCAGTGCCGTGATTAAAGGTATGAACCACTACACCTGGCTCCTGGCCCTCTTCTCACTCTTTTGTGACAGTGTCTCACTAAGTTGTCCAGGCTGGATCTGGACCCCAAAATTTTCTTTTCAAGATTCCCTAAAGATATCTTCACCCCTAGAAAGCAAAAAGAAAAACAGAATATAGATATGAGATAGATCATCGAATCTACTCTGAGAAAAAAGATAAAGAAATAATAGGATAAATAGGTAGATCAATGAATCTACACTGAAGAAAAAGGGGAAGATATAAAAATGACAAAAGGTAGACTACTGAATCTATTATGAAAAGAAAAAAGAGAGAATATGGATATGATAAGATAAAAAGGGAGCTTATGGAATCTACTTTTAAAAAGGAACTACTTGTTTTTTTTTTTTTAAAGATTTATTTATTTATTTATTATGTACACAGTATTCTGCCTGCATGTGTCCCTGCAGGCCAGAAGAGGGCACCAGATCTCATTACAAGTGGTTATGAGCCACCATGTGGTTGCTGGAAATTGAACTCAGGACCTCTGGAAGAGCAGTCGGTGCTCTTAACCACTGAGCCATCTCTCCAGCCCCTGGAACTACTTGTTTTAAATAAGATAAGTAATGAAATTTTTTTGTCTGAATTTGTCAAATGTTACTGGACTGGACATTGTTATATATTAATGGAGTTTTTTATCTGAATCTGTCAAATGTTAATGGACTAGACATCGTTAATGTAATGTTGACTGTGTATATATTGTATATACTTATTGGATAGTTTTTCTTGTATTAGTTATAAGCTTTTTTTAATTTTAGACAAGAAGAGAGGAAATGTGGTGGTATTGTGTTCCTCAAAATATTGTGTACCTTAGGCAGGCAGATCTTGAACTGGTAATCCTCCTGCCTCAGCCTCTTAAACAGTTGGGATAACAGGTTCATCACTAAATCCAACTATTGCTGTTTATGGAAAATGTACTAAGAATGACAAGGCTAACAACTCCTATGGTTTGGATGAGTGCTCTCCAAAGGTCCATATATATAGGCCTTGTGCTGCCTAGTTTTATGTCAACTGAACATAAACTAGAGTCACCAGAGAGGTGACTGAGAAAATGCCTCCATAATATCAGGATGTAGGCAAGCCTGTAGGGCATTTTCCTAATTAGTGATTGATTACTGGAGGAGGACCTAGCCCATTGTGGGTGTGGTGACCCCTAGACTGATAGTCCTAGGTTGTATAAGAAACCATTGTGGGTATGGCCACCCCTGGACTGGTGGTTCCGGGTTGTATAAGAAAGCAGGCTGAGCAAGCCATGGGAAGCAAGCAAGTAAGCAGCACCCTCCATGGTTTCTACATCAGGTCCTGCCTCCATGTTCCTGCCCTCACTGCTCTGGATGATGAACTGTTAATGGAACTGTGAGTGAAATAAACCTTTCCAAGGTGTTTTTGGTCATGGTGTTTCATCCCAGCAATAGTAATCCTAACTAAGACCTGGTCATCAGGGTGGCAGTTTGGGGAGATATTATGGTCCTGCTTGGGTCACTGGGAAATGGACTCAAGGGGATCGTGAAGCCTGTTATAGTTGCATATACCTCCTATCCTAGAACTAGGGAAACAGAGGCAGGAGGACCACTCCAAGTTCAAGGCCAACCTGGTCTATGTAGAGTTCTGGCCCAGGCAGGACTACAGAACAGCCACTTTTTTTTTTTTCTTGGTAAGACCTTATCTTTAAAAAAAAACCCACAAAAACAAAACTGTAACTCTGCATCCCTGCAGAGTTCTACTTTATGTGTCTTGGACCAAGCTGTGACTACCAGGTTCAGTGCTCCCACCACAGCCATCTTCCTCCCAAAGGACAAGTCAGTGGGCACACACCATGTATTGTATGATCTTGGACTTTAAACTTCTCAAAGTATACAGTAAATAAACATTTTCTCTTCATTAATTAGTTGCTTTAGGTATTTCATAGTAGTGATATGAAGCCAATGCAGTTGCATATATAAATTCAAAGAAAGAAAATAAAGTAGTGGAAAGAAAGACAGAATCAATTTGCTTCACGAGACAATTTCTTAGTTTCTACATCAGAGCTCTAGGACATACCTGCTAAGTACTGTCTCCTCAGATTACAAAACCTTATTTACTATAAAATACTGTTTTCTTATATTCTAAGAGCTTATAGATTTTAAAGTTGGTAAACTATGAAAGGGAAAGAGAAACAAACTCAGAAAAATCAATTTTAGGGATTTAGCCACTGTGATATCCCGGCAATTGGGAGATGGAGGCAAAGTGACCATGAATTCAAGGTCATCCTCAGCTACTCAGCTAGCACAAGTTTGACCAAACACAAAAACCAAAAAGTGCTGGGGTGGCACCCAAGGGCCTTCTACTGCTAAGAAGCATTCAACATCGAGCTGCATCCTCAGTTTTGCAAGTCTTGAGATAGCTAGGAAGGAAATGAAGTTTTCATCTAGTCAGCTGGCAGGCAGGCCTTGGCCCTACTTGCCACCACCATCCTTTAAATTTCTGTTCCTTTGATCCCACCTGCCATGATCCAAGTTCAGCTCTCAGCTGTCACTGCTCTGGAGAGATCTGCATTGCATCTTTCAACTGCTAAAGCAGGACAGGCTGACCTTAGCCCCACAGAAGAGCCCTGTAAGAAAGAAGCTTCCAGGCTTGACCTGAGGGAAGCCAAATTCAGCCATGCTCACTGGAGACAGTATCCAGTTACAAAGGAAGTGAGTCATTTCCTTCTTTCTGAATTCTGTCATTCCAATCATCTAATCACAATGTGTTACAGGCAGGTTTAAGTCTCATTAGTTTGCCAAAGGTGACTGCTTCCTAGGGTCAGGAGACCAGCTGTTCTCCACAATATCATCTCTTGTGGTAGGGACCAGGGATGGCAGAGTTCCCACATGCACCCAGGTATGATGGAGAGGCCCCTCAAAATCCACTGGTAGCTGAGGGCACTGGAGACTTGAACTAACGTCTCTTGTTCTATCCAAAGAAATGGATCTCTCGGATCATAGCTAGAAGCATCCTGCAGATCAAAGCAGTCCACAAAACTCCCTCAAGAAAAACCACCTCCTCACAGTATCTACTGAGTACATTCTCATCTGACTACAGGACCAAGGGGGAATTTAGCAAAGGCTCAATGATGCTTACTGGTCCTTCCCACTCCTCTGTACTCAGATGTGGGCTCCAGTAGGCAGCATCTGGAAGTCATCCTGGCTGGCAGTTTGGAGAAAAGGAGCAGAGCCAACCAACAAGGAACTTGAAAAAAAAGACACTGAAGAGCTAGACTGAAGATGGCAGGAGCAGCTAGCCCAGCCCACACAGCACTCCCCAGCATGCCCCCAGAGCAGAGGCAGCCAAGGTAACCTGCTGCAGACAGCTGGGCTTCAGGACAGCAGGGACAGAGGGGCAAGGAAGCAATTTTGATGCCCTTTTTTCTTATCTCACTGTGGTCCACTTTCTCTGAATTCACCTGGACTTCATTACATCAAACAGGTATGCCCCAGAGAAGCTGTAACAGTCACGTAAAAGGCAATGCAGGAACCAGGCCTGTAGTGATGCGCCCTTCATAATGTGTCCCCTGAGCAGCCCACATAACCCACAAATCCTCACCAAGGAGTTGTCTAATGACAAAGGCAATGATCAGTGCCCTTTCCTACCTCCAGCATCGGGACTCAGCTCGGAATCCTTGGACATTATTGTCCCCGCCAATCAAGTACACGAAGTTGTTGAGCACCGCAATGCCCTGGTTGGACATTCGGGGAGCCAGAGAGGCAGTGAAGTGTTTCCACTCTCCCAAGAGGGGATTCAGGTACTTGGCCTGGTCACTGAGGATTGTAGATGGTGTGGAGTGAATGCCCCCAAAGCCCACAACACACTGGAAGTCTGAGCGAAGCTCTGTCTGTGGGCCCTGAAGGCTGGGCTGCAGGCTCTCATTCCGGTGGTACATAAGGGCACTGGCCACCGTCTCCCTCAGTGGGCTAGGACCAAGCTTGTCATGCAGTCGCTGAAGGGCCTCAGCTTCCATCAAGGGGAAACGCACAGTCTCTAGGAGCTTGGGGGGCTCAAGCAGTGAGATCTGGTCAGCCTGCACCTGCTCCAGGGGGTAATGGTAGAGCAGGGCCCCTTCATACACCTCAGTCTCACAGGAAACCTCCAGGCGATTGCTGCTGAGCAGGGAGTAGACCTTCTCCAAAGGAAGCTGGCGGTACTTGTCAGTTCTTGAGAAGGCCACAAAGTTTTTGAGGATGTAGGTATCCAGCTGTTGGGTCAGACGGTTCAGATCAAAGAGCTCCGCCAACCGGTAGACATCAAGGATGTTCTCCTCATCGACCCATGACATGAGGAAGTCACAGCAGAAGTGAATAATCTCTGGGATCTGTAAAAAGAAGGATACCCACTCAAGCCTGAGCTGGAGAACTGCATCTGGGTACAGAGACAGGGTAACAGCAGAAAAAGGCTTACACATCTGGCTGTCCCTATAGCTGGCCTTCTGGGGTTGGGGAATGCCAAGTGGAATCTTCCCTCAACTGTCCCCAACCTTTACTGACACAAAAATGGGACTTCTTGCAGGCTGTTTAAAACCTAAGCCTGGAAAGCCATGGAAACACAGGGCATGTTCTTAACCTCTCAGAGTGTTAGGATCCTGCCTCACTCCTGCACATGCACAGCTCGGGGTCTTACGTCTAACGTCATCAGCGGGCGCTGGCGACTATGTAGCGCAGCATGGTCACAATCTGCGCCTTAGAAAGCCGGACACGGACCCCACCCTCTCTCTTTGTTCTCTGATCTCTCTCTCCTCTGCTCCCTCCCCACTTCTCTCTCTCCAGGCCTGGCTCTCCTCTTTCTCCTCCCCACCTTTCCCTCTAAATAAAGCTCTAAACACTAACACTGTCATGACCATGACCTTTCCATGCGGTAACCAGCCCACCACCAGCGCCATGTATCTTTCACAGAGCCCCAATCCTCATTTATAAAACAAGGGAAAAGCAGGGAGGAATGGATGAGAGCGTGAACACCACTTAGCACAGACAGGATTTTTGATATATATCACCTGCTTTTAGATAAAAAATGTGTGCGGGAAAGGAAGCAGGATATGTCACAGACTGTCAGTGTTTGGAAGGAACCTGAGGCTATTCCCTGCCACTGGTACTCTCTAGAAGAGTCGAGGTACTAAGACCAAAAATATACCTGGCTCTTTTCTCCTGCTCGAGTTCTCTGGATCAGGCCTGCCAGGCCCACTTACCACTGTACTTAGAACTGTCAGCAAGGCATCTCCAGATATTCACCAGAGCCAAGACCCAGATTCAGAATTCCTGAAAAGCTGTCAAACCATCCTGGGGCCTCTGCCTGAGCTGAGAGACCCACTCAGCTCCAGAGGGTGCAGGATTCCCAGGTGGCAGCATCACCTGTCCCTAGCTCCACAGAATCACTGGAGGAAGGGAAGGCGGGCCAAAGAGGCACTGAGTGCTACCGGTCACAGGAAGATATTATAAGAACTCAGCTGGCTGGGCGGTGGTGGCGCACACCTTTAATCCCAGTACTCGGGAGGCAGAGGCAGGCGGATCTCTGTGAGTTCGAGGCTAGCCTGGTCTACAAAGCAAGTTCCAGGAAAGGCGCAAAGCTACACAGAGAACCCTGTCTTGAAAAAACAAACAAACAAACAAAAAAGCGGGGGGAAAAAAAAGAAAAAACAAAAGCAAACCAAAAAAAAAAAAAAAAATTCAGCTGGTTATGGCAAAGCCACTACCTGAAGGGATCAAGGAATTCCCTCAGAGGAAGCCAAACCCCAGGGAACATTTGGTGCTATTTGACTCGTTATGTATCACCTGTCTCTGTTATGAATATCACGTGTGCCTTCATAGCTTTCCTAAGAAGTGCTAGCAGTGTGGACTGATCACTCTCTGGACATACACATTCAGGGTATTTGGAGAACAGCCTCAGGAAAGGCTTCCTTCCCCCTAGCCCATCTGTTTCTCCCCTTTTAGCACTGGAATCAGATCTCTTCCTTAGCCACGTTCAAGGACTAACAGGAATAACAGTCCAGACCACCACATGCTAGTCTCCTGATTTAAGGTAAATTCCACAAGGAGACACCACCTAGGTCAGGTGGACCTTAAGTAACAGCTTCACACAATTTAGTTCGGACCCTCCTTCCTTTTTTTTTGTTTCGGTTTTGTTTTTTGTTTTTGTGTCACCCCACCCCCACCCCCAGACACGGTTTCTCTGTGGAGCTTTGCACCTTTCCTGGAACTCACTTTGTAGACCAGGCTGACCTTGAACTCAGACATCCACCTGCCTTTGCCTCCAAAGTGCTGGGATTAAAGGTGTGCACCACTATACCCAGCTTTACATCAGTTTATAGTATAAAACTATTTGTGTAAGCCGGGCAGTGGTGGCACACGCCTTTAATTCCAGCACTTGGGAGGCAGAGGAAGGCAGATCTCTGTGAGTTTGAGGCCAGCCTGGTCTACAAATCAAGTTCCAGGACAGCCAGGATGGTTACACAGATAAACCCTGTCTTGAAAAATCAAAAACCAAACCAAGGGGGCTGGAGAGATGGCTCAGAGGTTAAGAGCACTGGCTGCTTTTCCAGAGGTTCTGAGTTCAATTCCCAGCAACCACATGGTGGCTCACAACCATCTGTAATGAGATCTGGTGCCCTCTTCTGGCGGTCAGGGATGTGTGTGGGCAGAACATTGTATACATAATAAATAAATAAATCTTAAAAAAAAAAAAAAAAAAAAACCAAAACAAAACAAACAAACAAAAACCACAAAAACAAACTATTTGTGTAGCATTTAATTGATACACTATTACAGCAATCTAGAGATAATCTAAAGTGTACAAGGAGCATAGGAACATAGGTGTACATAAGAAAGTTACATACCAACGATACTCCATTTTATAGAAGGTCTATAGACCTTTGGATTTTGATATCCACAGAGAGTCCTGGAACCAGTTCTCTGAGGGCACCACAAGACAACTATCTATCTATGGCTCAATTAGAATTACCAACATATTAACCACTGTATACAGAGAAATTCTGCTAATATTTAAAGTCTATCAATAAATGTTTAGAATTTTTTTAATTAAAATGATAACTCACGTTTCTTGCTAGGTGATATGCTAAGGGCTGAATAGACACCTACAAATGATCAGAGAAACACATCCCCGTGTTGGGTTCTTCAGGGTGCTCTGTAGTTCCCGAACATCTTCATTTTCCATGTTTAATTCCCTAGCCACCTCATCTAGTCCTCTTTTCCCTAACACACTCTTCTGTCCTGGGCCTGTGCGAGTAGGGATGAGTAGTGCCATCCTTGCAATAACCCATCCTCTTGCACCAAGCCTTCTTATTTCCCCATCCTTGGTCCTTTGGTCTGTTGTCATGGCAGTGTGCCTCTGCTGGGTAGAGTGCTACACGGACATAGCTGAAGCCCATCTAGTACAGGATCCCCAACCAGACAGACTCAGAATGGAATGCACTTGCCTAGAGCAAACCAACAAGGCCGATTCTGCTTAGGTTCAGACCCAAGACTCTGGGGACACTGTGAGAGTCACCAGGTCCACTGCAGGATAGGGCAGATGGGGACAAACCACCAGCCGCAACACCCACACTTGATCTGCAGACTCCACGGCGGCGTTCTAGCAAGCAGAACTTGCTTTACAACAATGTTGCATGTTCACACTGCTGCTTGCCCTCCCCCACCCCTCCTTCTTCCCAATAGGCCTATCATTGCAGCTGATGGTGAGGAATGCTATCCCTCACTAGCTTGACTCGATATCAGCTTACCCAATGGACCTTGCCTCATCTTCCCACTCATGGGCCTTCTGTGGGACTGAGCAATGTGTCCTCCCTCTGAGGAAGCAGTTGGGCCCTCTCTCTAGCCTCTTTGCTGACCCCAGGTGGGAAGACTGGGCTTCTTCAACAGCCACCCTCTGCCCTTCGGCTCTGGAGTAGCCGGGCCTCTTCACTGACAGGTTACTGGGGCCCTGCCCTGCCTTGCTGCCCCATGGACCTCCCAGGGCCCCTTTGTTGAAGGAGCCACCAGTGTTCCTCTTCCTCCTAGTCTTTTCCCATTCCTTCCAACTGTTCCACCTGGAAGTGAGTTTGGGACTTTTTATTTAAGGGAACAAAATGAAAAGAAACCTATAAATATGTATTTTATATATTTTTAAAAAATTTAAAGATTTTATGTGTACAAGTGTTTACCTGCAGGAGAACCTGGGTTCAATTCTCAGGCCCCACAATTCTCAGGTGGTTCACAACTACCCCTAACTCCAACTCCAGGAGATCTGATGCCTTTTCCTGGTATCTTCAGGTACCAGGCACAAATGTGGTACAGGCAAAACACTCATAAGGGGAGGGGGGTAGCGATGGCACACACCTCTAATTCCAGCACTTGGGAGTTCAAGGCTAGCCTAGTCTACAGAGCGAGTTCCAGGACAGCCAAGGCTACACAGAGAAATCCTGTCTCACAAAACAAAAAAATACTCATATACATAAATCTAAAAAAATTTTGTTGTTTTAAAAAGATCAGTTGCTGCTCTTCCATAGGACCTGGGTTTGGTTCCTACTACCCACATAGATGCTAAAAACATCTGTAACTCCAGTTCCAGTTCCAAAATCTGATGTCAGCCTCTTCTGGCAGAGGCCAGAATGAGGCATGCACATGGTATACATACATACATAATAAAGAAATGAGGGAAGGAATCATGCACTATGGTACATGTCTGTAGTACCAGGTACTGCAGTAGCTAAGGCCAAACTGTGAATTTAGGCCTGTGTATGGTTAACATAGTAAGACAGGACAGGACGGGACGGGGACGGAGACGGGTGTGTGTGTGTGTGTGTGTGTGTGTGTGTGTGTGTGTGTGTGTGTGTGTAAAGAGTGGACAAACACATCTGGTATACAGGAAAGACGTACACTGTGCTGCAGGTCAGAGGATTCTCAAAGTTGCTAGACATCACACACACGGGCCATCACACATACATGCCTCGGGGTTGGCCAACTTGTGACGTTTTTTCCTAGCAAGGAAATCAGGCCAGGAGAAGGAAGCAGCAGAGAAAGAAAGGGCACGTTGGACACATGGGTTCACGCCTGGAAGCCTAGCACTCTGGAGGCTGAGGCAGGACTGCCAGGAAATTAGCCATCCCAGGCTACACACATTCTAAGCCAGACTAGTCTATATTGAGACTGTGTCAAAAAATGGAAAGCGGGGAAAAGGCTGCTGGAGAGATAGCTCAGTAATTGAGAGCACTGGCTGCTACAGAAAACCCAGGTTTGATTCCCGACACCCACCTACATGGCAGATCACAGCTATCTGTAACTCCAGTGTCAGGGGACCCAACACCCTCTTCTGGTCTCCACAGGAACTGTACACATGTGACACAGGGAAAACACTCATACACATAAAATAAAATAAAAAACCATTAAAAAAAAAAAAGAGGGGGCTCCAGAGGGGGCTCAGCAGTCAAAAGTGCCCTGCAGAGACCCTGCTTCAAATCACAGGACCTACATGGTCCGTATCATGCATAACTCCAGTTCCAGGGGAGCCGATTCCCTCTTCTGACATCCTCAGGTACTAGGCACACACATGGTGTAGTACACAGACATATATGCAGGCAAAATGCTCATACACATAGAATAAACAAATCTCTCTCTCTCTCTCTCTCTTTTTTTTAAGTAGAAAAACAGGGCAGAAGAGGAGGGCAGGCCAGGGCATTTGGAGCTACTCTGCTTCCGTTCCCAAGGCTCATTACCAAGGTAGCCTCCCTGTTCCATATTTTGCCTCATTACTTGGTATTCTTGCCCTCTTGACCTACCTCATACCAGCAGTCATCACAGGTATCTGGGGAAGTCCCCCTCAGGTATGAGTCTTCTTGTTCAACAAGGCAACTCTCACCTGAAGTTGGCAGGCAGCAACCAAGGTCTCCTGCACATTGTTCAGGCTGAGCTCTAGTTCAGAAGTGTAAATGAAATGCAGGATTTGGCACATGGCATTGTAAGACACACCGTGGATCAGGACCTCTTCCTGCTCCATCTCCTTCAATCCCCCAGCAAACATTCCTCTGTAAGGCAAAAAGACACAAGGCATTGAGAGTTACTCAGTCAGGACTTCAGTGTGGGCCACAAAAAGCATTCAGAAGGGACTAAGAGCTGGTGGTGGGGCTGGCCGGATGACAGTCTTCATGCCCAACACTGACTGCTCTGTGTCCTGAGTAACAGACGGCAAAGGGGAGTCAGTATACAGAAGGAGCCTGATCAGTTGGGCAGTCGTCCTGGGATCGCTTGACTCCCCAAATACGGCCCAGGCCCCTACATGCTCTTCCCGGGAGCAGTGCCTCGTTTGCCTGCTGCACATCCACCAGTGCAGTTCTCAGGCCAGACAGCAACCGGAGGAAGCTTCGAAAGAATGTGCTAACAGCAAATACGTAACAGCCGAGAGCCACTGCATTACATGTATTTAATAGAGAAAATCATTGCACATGGGTTCCAGTTTGCCTTTCCTGTTGACAGAGCATCAAGAAGCTTCAATATAACTAGTAAGGCAAACTTATCTACAGAGGTATTGTGTTTTCCTAAGGACATCTCAAACAAAGACATTAAAAACAACCAACAAGCCAGGTGTGGTGGTGCACACCTGATGTGGAATAATCCTTTTGTACACTGTGAAGATTTGTCACTCAGATTGTTTAATAAAAGGTGGATTGCCCAGTAGCCAGGCAGGAATTATAGACGGGACAACCAAACTAGGAGAGTGATGGGAAGAAGGGCGGAGTCAGGGGAACAACAGCCAGCCACTGAGGGAGCAGAACTTGTAAAAAATGAAGTAACAAGCCATGAGCCATGTGGCAAAGCATAGATAAGAAATATGGGCTAATTTAAATGTAAGAGTTAGCTAGTAACAAGCCTGAGCTACTGACCAAGCATTTATACGTAATATTAAGTTCCTGTGTTGGTTATTTGGGAGCAGGCAATCAGGACAGGAAAACTCCACCTACACACACCTTTAATCTCAGCACTTGGGCAGTAGAGGTGAATGGATCTCTGTGAGTTGGAGGCCAGCCTGGTCTACATAATGAGTTCCAGGACAGCCAGCACTACATAGAAGCAGCCTATCTCAAAAAAACAAAAACAAATAAATGAATCATGCTTACTTAGGGCAGAATGTTAGAAACCTTGAGTTTAACTATATTAGTACCTCTCTCCCAAAACCTAAACAATGCACCTCATAAAATCATTTTTATAATTCCATTTTAAAAAAGAAATTCAAGAAGTAGATGGTAAGCCAGCTCATGTGTTTTTACTTATTTACTTGGGCCATTGTCTGCAGAACTATCTCTCTGGCCAGATTTTTATTTAATTTCTAAGCTTTACTTAAAATTTAAGGTTTATTTATTCTTAAACTATTGTAGTAAATTATATCCTCTGAGCTACATCACTTAGCCATAAAAATCAAATATAGTGACTGTAAAATGACACTTAAGCATAACTGTACATCTTAAGAAACCCTGTCTTGCTGGGTGGCAGTGGCACATGCCTTTAATCCCAGAACTCAGGAGGCAGAGTCAGGTGGGATCTCTGTGAGTTCGAGGCCAGCCTGGGCTACAGAGTGAGATCCAGGACAGGCACCAAAACTACAGAGAAACCCTGTCTCCAAAAACAAAACAAAACAAAACAAAACAAAACAAAACAAAAAAAAAAACAAAGAAAAGAAAAGAAAAAGAAAGAAACCCTGTCTTGCTGGGTGTGGTAGTGCACACCTTTAATTCCAGCACTCCAGAGGCAGAGGCAGGGCTATACAGAGAAACTTTTGTCTCAAAAAACAATACAAGAAGAAGCCCTTGTTTGCTCTTCTTCCCTAAATGTCCATGACTCAGCCTAACGTATGTTCTCTGCTTATCTTAACAAACTCCAGTTGGTTTCACTTTGACTCCTCAAACTTTTCCTGCAGTAGTTATAACTGGAAGGCGGACCCTAAGGAAAAAGGGAACTAACCACTCCAGCTGCTGATGGCAGTGCTAGGCTTGGCCCCTGCCTATCACTGACAGTATCTTGGAGGTAAACCACTAAACTTCTGGTATATACATTAAAATTTTTTTCTTGAGATTCTATTTATTTATTTACTTACTTATTTTTTATTTTTTTGAGACAGGGTCTCACTATATAGCTCGGCCTGTCCAACAACTCTCTCGGTAGACCAGGCTGACTTTGAACTCATGAGATCCACCTGCCTGTGCCTCCCAAGTCCTGAGATTAAGGGCAGGTGACACTACCACCCAGAAAGATTGTATCTATTTTTATGTAAGTGTTGCCTGAATGCACATCTTTGCACTATATGGTCCAGTGTCCTCTGAGATCCTCTGGGACTGTAGTTACAGACAGTTGTGAGCTACCATATGGGTGCTAGGAATTGAACCTGGGTCCTCTACAAGGCAGTCAGTGCTCTTAACTGCTGAGTCATCTCTCTGGCCTCCTGACATACAAATTTAATGATGACAGAGGAGGAAGACAGGCAGGTAGCTTGGTAGCAGAGTGCTTACCTAGAATTAGAATGCACAGAGCCCTAGGTGCCATTTCCAGCACAGAAATGGGAAGGAAAGAGGAAGGTTGGGAGGGAGGGAAGCGGGGACAGAGGGAGGATGATAGTTGTTTGGACTGGGAAAATACTGAAATAATGAGAAGGAGCTTAAGGGAGTTTGACTTGAAAGTAACTCACTAGAGTGCTTGGAAAGAGCAGGAGCTGGACACTCTCAGGAAGCGAGACTGTCTGAAAAGTCTCAGTAAAAGATGAGGAGGCAGGCACACAGATTCAGGGTTTGGAAGAGCTTTCTGAGCAACATAGCCAACGCAAGAGGGAGTGAGCGAGAAGTAAGGTGGGGCAGGCGGAGCCCAGCTGTATCTCCAGGGCAGGACAGAAAGTGTGCTGGAATCTAGGATGAGGGAATTTTTACATAAAGTGCCCTAGAAAGGAGAGGCTGAAGAATGGGCTGAGGAAGAGGCAGAAAACCAGTTACACAGGAGGCTCTTGGCTCAGGGAAGGGCAGTGTTGTTGGAAAACTGCAGCTGAAATGCCAGGGTACAGCCAAGAGCCTGCTGACAGACTGACTCCAGGAGCATCTGGAGGACATAAGGCCCTTTGTGGGGCAAAGCGTCTGGGCAATTGGGGGAAAATTCAGGAGGAACTAGTTTAAACAAAATAAGTGGGGGGATCCTACCATGTCACATTAAGACATTCAAGCAGAGATGTAACAGGTCTTTCTTTGAACTGCCAGCTCCCGAATAATGACATGAAGACTTTTTTTTCCCTTTTTTTATGAAAGCTTGGCCTTAGCTTAGACTTGTTCCCAACTAGCTCTTATAAATTAAATTGACCCGTTTATATTAATCTATATTTTGCCACGTGGCTCTTTACCTCTCCTCAATACTTCCAACTTCCTCTGTGTCTGTCTGGGGAATCTCCTGCCTCCGATTCTTTCCCAGAGTTCCTATCTCTCCCTGGAAGTCCCACCTATCCTCTCCAGTCTAGCTATTGGCCATTCAGCTCTTTATTAAATCAATCAGAATGTGCCGTAGGCAGGTGAGGAAGGACAGACATCTTCACACAGTGTACAAAAAGACTATCCCAATGCAGAGATATTGATTAGGTATCAAAAGGAAAGAGGCAATAACCAGGACCAAATATGCTTTTATTACTGTAAAGAGTCCAAGCCTACTTCCGAGTTTGAAAACCTACCAAAACCCACCAATCCCTGAGCACAAAACTCCACTAATCCCCAGGCTTGGCTTGAAATCTCACAAATCCCCACCCTAGAAATCCCCTCTCCGGAAAACTCTGGCCCCAAGAAACCCTGAGCCTCTTGTTCAGCTCCCTGCTGCTTCTCACCTGAGCAGAGGCAGCCACCCTCTGTGTCTCTCCTAATAGATGTCTTGTGTGAGGTTTTTTGTGTACCAGGATACCTCTCCCTTCAGAGCTGCAACACTTACAATGACCTTCCCCACCGTCGTTACACTAGTTTATGTTGCTGGGGTAGAACCCAAGCTCTCCTGACAGCTTCCTACTGCTGAACTACACCACCAGCCTTAAGATGGAAGACTAAACACCACAACCAGCAACTACCTTACCTTTCACTTATATTTTAACTAGGTAACTACTATAACTATAGATTTAAAGATGTAATAGCTGATAATATTACTCAGCTACAAAGTGTTTCCAGCTAGAAATGGTCAAAGACAGAAGTTGAGATGGCAATAGTATTTTTTAAAGGTGTCTTCTGCTGGAAGCACAGTCTGAAACATTTATTCATACTGTTTTGTGGCCCTTATGTTATTACCATGTGACAATAAATATTGTGAGATTATTAAAAAAAAAAAGATCTGAGCCAGTTGGGGCAGCACATGCTTTTGACCCCAGTACTTTGGAAGCAATGTGGTCTACATTCCACTTCTAGGCTGGCCAAGGATACACAGTCCCCCGCTGCCGCCTCAATAAACAGCTAGATAGATAGACAGACAGACAGATTAAATAACTGATTAAATCCATAAAAAGTTGTGGTGAATCCCTCTTAAGGATGGTTTGCACCCTAATCCACCAGGGTCACCCCAGGGGCAGGTGACTCTGCGTTTTACTTTGCTTTTATTTCAGACACATCTGGGAAACCAATTCCTACCTATCACTATCTAGCACAGTGGTTCTCAACCTTCCTAATGCTGCAACCCTTCAGTACAGTTCTTCATGTTGTGGTGACCCCCCCCAACTAAAATTATTTCCATTGCTACTGTTATGAATTGTATTGTTAGTATCTGTGTTTTCCAAAGGTCTTAGGCGACCCCTGTAAAAGGGTCATTCAACCCCCACAAAGGGGTCTCCCACAGGTTGAAAACTACTGCTCTAGCAGAACAGCCAGAAGGGAGAGGCTGCTCTTACAAGATTCTCTGAGGCCCATCCCTCAGCTTTTAGAAGCAGTAAACAAGTACTGAAGAGGAGATTCGGATGGTTGGACTTTCAAGAGGAGACCAGTGGAGCAGTCTTAAAGTTGTGCAGAGTGCAGGGTTGGCACTTTTGGGAGTAATCACCCATGGTGGGGCAGGATTCTCTTTGTAAAGTCTCTCAATCATTTAGCCAACTCCAACTCAAGTACATTTAGGTTTATATTACACAATGGATATGGCTCCACCCCCATGTCATACCATATCTGATAGGATTAATTTCTGCAAATGTGGATCCTGGGCCGAAAAGTTAACATACATTCACAACTGAACAGTCCTATTCACCTGATCTTCCGCCACTCCCCACACTGGAGTCAGGAACCTGGCCCCCACACCATCTACAAACATGCTAAGAGCCAGGAAATACTAGCTCTAACTCTGCCAGCACGAGAAGAAATATTATTATAAATGGAATAAAAAGATCGTATCACACTGTTAAAAAGCCATTTCAATAGTCTTTCTGAACAATCCAGAATTTTGCTAGTTTTGGACTATAATTATAATCTCTTATGTACTGGAAGGGACAGGTCTTTTCAGGGGTGAGTTAAACTTTCTTCCATCCTTTCTTGAAGATTTCTGACTTGTAAAAATTTGGCAGGTTTTTGTTTTTGTTTTGTTTTGGTAGGGTTTTGTTTTTGTTCTAGTCAAGGTCTTTCTATGCAGCTCCTGCTATGCTGGAACTTTCTATGTAGACCAAGCTGGCATTGAACTCACAGAGATCCACCTGTCTCTGCCTCCTAAGTCCTGGGTTTTGGCTGAGAAATTTGGTTTTTGTTTTGTTTTGTTTTAAGACAACTTAAATTATGTAGTTCAGGTTGGCCTCAACCCTGTGAGTGCTGGGACTATAAGGGTACAGTACCACGACTAACTGTCTATTTTAAGTGTCATCAAATTTATCAGTTTCAATTCTTGTCATTGTTTTGTGTCAAACTTAGAATGACTTTTCCCTCTGAGATTATATTAGAAAATACTTTTCTGTATTTTCCTCTAGGTTGTTACTTAAAACTCGGGCTTGGCCGGGCAGTGGTGGTACATGCTTTTAATCCCAGCACTCGGGAGGCAGAGCCAGGCGAATCTTTGTGAGTTCAAGTCCAGCCTGGTCTACAGAGTGAGATCCAGGACAGGCTCCAAAGCTACACAGAGAAACCCTGTCTCGAAAAACAACAACAACAAAAAAACTCGGGCTTGAGGGCAGGAGAGATGGTGTAGTGGCAATGATCTGACTCATAAGGACCTGAGTCAGATCTCCGACACACATTAAAAGCTGGCCAATGCGCCGGGCGGTGGTGGCGCACGCCTTTAATCCCAGCACTCGGGAGGCAGAGCCAGGAGGATCTCTGAGTTCGAGGCCAGCCTGGACTACCAAGTGAGTTCCAGGAAAGGCGCAAAGCTACACAGAGAAACCCTGTCTCGAAAAATCCAAAAAAAAAAAAAAAAAAAAAGCTGGCCAATGCAACACAGCCTGTAACCCCAGCGATATGGAGCAGAGCCAGAGGACCCCTGGGCTCGCTGGTCAGGTTCAGTTAGAGACTGTTTCAAAAACTGGAATAGGATGAAGAGTAAAGAAGAAGTCTGAGGGGTTGACCTTTGACCTCTACATGGAGGGGGACACCCGCACACACATCAGACTGGTGGTGTGGCCCTTGGCACCCGTCCAGCATGTGCCAAGACTGCTAGGTTTGAACCTTAGCACCGCAAAACAAAACTGTTGATCACTTGGCATTAATGTTTGTATAAGGCATGGAGCAAGGGTCCAACTTTGTTCTTCTGGTGGCAATGGTGGTATCCATTGTCCCTCCCTTGATTTACAATGTCATTTTTGTCATGTGCAGAGTTCCTGTTATATCTGTGGTATTTCTGAACCTCGTGCTTTTTCTCTATTTCTTTCTCTCTCTCCCACAGAAGCAGTTCCAAACCCCACACACTGATACCATAGCCAATACAGGACAGGGCCAACCCCTCTCATTTCTGTTGCTCCCGCCATTTTCTGACCGTTGCTTGCTTTTTCTTTTCAAGTTTATAACAAGTTTGTGCAATTCACTCCCAATAAATCCTCTTGGGAACATCATAAACATTCAGATTAATGCAGAGAACTAGCTCTTTGCAAGGAACACAATGGTCCTTTCTTTTCTACGTCCAATTATGCTTGTGTTCTCTTCAGAAGTCCAGCAAGCTTCCAAAGTCCCACAGACTAAGCACAAGGTAGACTTGTTTCCAGATAGTCCATGTTCAGCCAGCCTCTTGCCATCTCTCTGCATTTTGTAGTCTGGACTTTCCAGAGCTGCTGCTGCACAGACTTCCCTTGCTGACTTCTCTGCCCAGACCTCCAAGGTGCTGATAAGAGCAGAAATGGCAGGTCCCTGAGCAGTGTGGGCATGGCTCACATACCCATAACCCAGCTTTCCAGAAACAGAAGCTGGAGAAATGCTGCCAGTTTTAAGGCAGCCTAATCCATAAAGGGAGTTCTAGCCAACCTCTTAGACGGCATTTTAATGGGGTGAGGAGTAAAGTGAAATAAAGTCCTGAAAGCAGGTATGTAAATATAAAGAGATGGAAAGCAACGTGGCAAAATGTTGGTGATTATCATGTTCATCACACACTATTCTTTCAACTTCCATAGCTTTAAGTCCACAGAAAAATAAAAAGGAAACACACACACACACCCCAAAAGCTGGGTGTGGTGGGGAGGCAGAGGCAGGCAGATATCTGAGTTGGAGGCCAGCCTAGTCTACAGAATGAGATCCAGGACAGCCAGAGTTACATGGAGAAACCCTGTCTTGAAAACCAAAACCAAAACAAAACAAGACCAAAAAACCCCCACAACATTTAAGTCAAGCCAGTCATGATCCAGTTTTGAAAAATGAGAATAGGCCCAGCAGAGAGCCAAACTGAAAGACAACTCTGACGACCTCTTCTCTGCTAGGCTGGTTGAGAGCTTTGAAGGAAGGAGAAGACCCAGCCACCTCCAGTGCCAGGGACCCCCACTTGGGAAAGGTAGGCCTGCCTGTGATCACCCTACAGAAACATTTGCAGGGCAGGGATGCATAAGGGCCTCCCTCCTTGAGGGTCTAGGCAGTTAGTCGATGGTTACTGAGGGAGGGAAAGACAGTTTTTCTTCCTTTCTTTTCTTTTTTTTTTTTTTTTTTTGGTGACATTTTCTTAAGTGGTATAGTCACCAGTAAGGTACGCATGTCACTACAATACCTCTCACCCAACTCTCCTGCAAGAGACCCTAATACACTCAGTGGGTCACCAAAAACAAACAAAACCAAAATGTAGGAGGGCTGGGAGGGAACAAGTATTAAGGTGACTATGATTAAAACACATTCTATACATGTATGAGAGTGTCATAATGAAACCCATTAATAAAAACACTGAATAAACATAGGTAACTTACCTGAAGTAATCACACGATGCAGCTAGCAGAATTCGATGAGCCTCAATGTGTCTCCCCTCTACCACCAGGACAACATCAAAGAGGATCCCACTGTCTCGCAAAGCAAGCAGGCCCCGGAGCAGGGCCTGGGAGTGCTGGGTGCTTCGATAGGTGTTGTTGACGCAGTGTGAGTGGGAGGGCTGTGTTGGCAGCTTGCACAGCTGGGCAAACTCCTGCTCCTCTGCCATCCTGACAGCCACAGCAGCCCTCACCACTGTAGTCAGCTGCAAGACACAGGGAGCAAGGAATGGGCAGGTAGGAAGCTGGCATGGTATCCCAGGCCAACGGCACTGCCCCCACGGCACCCGCTGCGGTGACTTCCCTGCGATCCCAAAGCCTGCTCCTCCCAGCCGCGGTCCCACTGGGCTTCTGTCTTATACCTGGTCTCTTCACCCACACGGCCTTCATCCTATGTGCCACCCTCAGCACTGCAGGAAAACAAGTGTTCTGAGGCTGGCATGACAACTCACAAATGGAATCCCGGCTACTTGGAGAAGATCACAAACTGAAGGGCAGAAAATTTAGACAGACCCTGTCTCAAAACAGAATTAAAAAGAGGACAGGGGTGTAGTTCAGTAAAGCACTGGACAGAGAAGAGTTCTGGGAGAAGACTTGAGACAGAATAGAAAGACAGGGAAAGTAAAGAGAACATGGGAGAAAAAGCAGCCTCTCACCCCCACGATCAGGTTCATTTTTTTCTGGCTGAGAGTTAAGAAATTCAATGTAACTGATAAGACACCAAAAGATGGCCTACAACAATATCCCTTTCCTGAGAAATATCTCAAACAAGAATACTAAAACACAGCCGGGCGGTGGTGGCGCACGCCTTTAATCCCAGCACTCGGGAGGCAGAGCCAGGCGGATCTCTGTGAGTTCGAGGCCAGCCTGGTCTCCAAAGCGAGTTCCAGGAAAGGCGCAAAGCTACACAGAGAAACCCTGTCTCGAAGAAAAAAAAAAAAAAAAAAAAGAATACTAAAACAAGCCAGACCCGGTGACTCAGCCTTTAATCCCAGCACTCTGAGTTTGAGGCCAGCCTAGTCTACATAGCAAACAAGTTCCAGGCCAGCCGAAGCTATACAGTGAGATCCTGTTTCAACAACAAAAGTGCTGAAACAGCAAAAAAAACAAAAAAAAACAAAAAAAAAACAAAACTTTGCTTAAGGCCACACCTATGTGACCTTTGAGTTTACCGTTATTAGCTCTTCTTTATCCCTAAAGCCAAACAATGCACCTCATTAACACTTTACAATTTCACAATTGTTTTGGTTTTTCCAAGACAGGGTTTCTCTGTGTAGCTCTGACTGTCCTGGAACTCACTGTGTAGACCAGGCTGGCCTCCAACTCAGAGATCCACCTGCTTCTGCCTCCCAGTACTGGGATTAAAGGTGTGCGCCGCCACCGCCTGGCTCAAAAGGAAAATCTTTAAGAAAAGTAATAAGTAGTTGGAGAGATGGCTCAGTGATTACAAGCACTGGCTACTGGTCTTCTAGAGGACTCGAGTTCAGTTTCTGGGACCTACATGGTGTCTTACGCTGTTTGCAACTCTAGCTACAGAGGATCCAATGCCCTCTTCAGGCTTCCACAGGCACCAGGCACGCATGTGGTGCACAGACATACATGCAGGCAAAACACCCATACACATAAAATAAAAATAAATCTTATGCTGGGCGTGGTGGCGCACACCTTTAATCCAGTACTTAAGAGGCAGAGGCAGGCGGATCTCTGTGAGTTCGAGGCCAGCCTGGTCTACAGAGTGAGATCCAGAACAGGCACCAAAACTACACAGAGAAACCCTGTCTCGAAAAACAAAAAAACAAAACAAACAAACAAAAAACCCCAAAAACAAAAACCTAAGCCAAACCTACTACAAATATCCCTTTGCCAACACACACACACACACACACACACACACACACACACACACACACACACACACAGAATGAACCAGAAACAACTGTGCACACTAGGGGTCAGGAAGCAACTATCCTGGAGGTAAGATAGGTCCTGTGGCCAACCATATGCTCTTTTAGCACAGGTCAGCCATTTAGAAGGCCAGAGCCTTCCTGCCACCTTACGAACCACCTCCAGTTCCCCACCATTTCTTTAATAATTAAGATGAAAACAAGGGTCAGTGAAATGGCTCGGTGGGAAACATTCGCCCTGTAGGCCTGACAACCTGAGTTCGATGCCTGGAACCCACATAAAGATGGAGGACTGGACTCCACACATACACTGTGCTGCACACACACATACAACAGCAACAATAAGTAAGTAAATGTAAAGATTTATTTTTATTTTGTGTACTATGTATGTGTGAGCCCTCAGAGGTCAGAAGGAGGTGGCAGCTCCTCTGGAATGCAGTGTGTGAGCCATTGGCTGAGGTGCTGGGAACAGAATCCGGTCTTCTGTAAGAGCAGTAAGTACACAAACTACTGAACCATTTTACCAGCCCCCAAATATGCATATTTTAAAGTAAACAGATGTTAACACAAAACTAGCCCAGAAAGGCTTCTTACCACAGAAGGGGCACATCCCTCGCCACCACCCACCTCCTCTTCTGGACCTCTGCTCTCACGCCTCTGCAGCCTCCCATCACACATGCTCACTTCTCCTCCATCTGTCTCCTGGCTGCAGGACTCTATTGGCTTATCCACACTTCCTTTCTACCCTGAACTGGGTGCTTTCTCACAAGGCCCTAGAGAGGGTTAGAGCTGTATGTCCCACCATCTGTCTCTGGGTTAGGATCTCTCCAGCCTGGAAACTCTGCCCTACAAGGCCTCCTCTCCTGACCTCTTCCTTTCCTTCAATCCATCCATTTCCCCAGGACATGCATTCCCAATGACATCTCCAGCCAGAATCCCTTCCAGCTGGTCTGTTTTTGTCAATCGTATACTACATTTTCTATCTGAAACCTCTTAGCCTCAATGACTGCCCCCCCCACCCCCTCTCTAGTCAGGGTTTCTCTGTATAGCCTTGGCTGACCTGGATCTCGCTCTGTAGACCAGGCTGGCCTTGAACTCACAGAGATCCACCTGCCTCTGCCTCCCGGGTGCTGGGATTAAAGGCATGCGCCACCATGCCCGGCTTCTCTTTTCCTTTTTAAGCCTATGTTTTCTAAGCTCCTTTGGTCTTGACTCTTCTCCTGGATCTTGCATAGCCATTCCCTTATTCTTCCAGGGTCACAGTTTAGAGTCAGAGCATAGGAATGTTGTTCCAACAGATTTCCCTCTCACCTCATTCTCTACAGACTCTTCTGTCCAGGATGGACAGGAGACCAAACATGCACCTATGACACCCATCATCCTCCACATAGGACCAGGTTTGTTTCTCATGATCCTACTCTGGCCATGACCAAGCTGATCACATCTACCTCGCACCTTCACATAATCTCAACAAACATGCTCTGGTGGTGAACCTGTCTTCTCTACCCTTGACAGCCTGTCTCACAGCATCTCAGGGATAGTTAGTTCCTATGGCTACACCTATCAGATTCTGGGTACTTGGCTGCTACCTCCAAACCTCAGCTTCCTCACCACAACAAATTATGGAGTCGGGAGGGCTTCCTCATCTGTGGAAGACTATGAGAACTAATTGCCTTAAAAGACACTAACTCCCACCCCACCACGTGTACGGGGATGGGGTTCCACAGCTGTCAGTTGAGCGGCCCATCTGCCCTCTTGGAAAGGGATGGATATCATCTACTTCCTAAACAGTCACCACAAGAACAAGTACAGTAAAATAGGGTGACTACTCCCCTGGGCAAAGTACATTTACTAAGACCAAGAAAAGGAATTCGGCACAACATCCAAGGTCTCTGGTATAGCCAGACATAATGGCACAAGCCTGACTCCAGCACTCAGGGGTACTAATGAGAGGACCACAAGTCTGAAGCCAGCCTGGAATATGTAGAGACTTGTCATAAACAAATAATGAAAGAAACTGGAGCTAGGGTTAGAGAAAAGGTTCAGAACAACTAAGAGCGCATACTATTCTTGCAGAGAACTGGAGTTTGGTTCCCAGCACTCTATCAGGTGGCTCAGTTCCAGGGGTCCGGATGCCCTCTGCTGGCATCCAGAGCACCTTCACTCAGGCACACATACACAGACACTTTTTTTCTTCAAAGACAGAACATGGAGACTCTGGTGACTGCAAATCTATAATATTCTTCCGCTTTCCATTAGCTTCTGTTTATAACTTCATGCCCCGCCTATAGTCCACCCTATAAACATGTTTTACTTAAGGGATCCTATTTGATCCTGTCAAGACATGTGGTTTTCCTCCCATTGTTTGCTATCGCAAACAGTTGGGCACTGAAAATTATTTTAGAGGAGTCTTCAACTTATCGTTTACTGAAAAGGCATCCTCAACCCGCCCACCCCAATCTTCAGCAGTACAACGTAAGATGTGCAACAAAAGAAAAACCAGCAGCTTGGAAAGAGCAGAGGAGGGAGCGGGTCCTTATTTCCAAGGAGGGAGTCTCCAAGGGGTGCTGACGTGCTCCGTGGCTTGTTTCCCCGAGGCGCAGACTAGGAGCATCTCAGAGCTCGGCCTGACCCTTGGAAGCAGCCGCGGGCAGAAGGTGGCCCCGCCGCGCCCCGCCCGGTCTGTTCGTTCGGCCTGGCAGGATCCAAAAGGATCTAAACTAGTACAACCCGGTGATTCTGCACTGACAGCGCAAACTCTTCGGCTACTCTCAGCAACCGCAGCCGCGGCTGAAGTCTGAGGTCACGCCAGGCGCGGCAGCCAGGCCCGCCCTGGCGCCTGTTGCAATGCCTGCTCGCGTAGCCTCGAGGGTCGGGGACTGGCCGGAGGCCACACTCGGACCCGCGGCCCGCGACAAGCCTGGCCGACCGGGCTGAGACGGCCACGGCCCGCCTCATCCGCGCGAAGGCCTCGGCCGCCCGCACCACGGCGCCGAGCTCGCGCCGGAGGCCCGGGGGTCGCCCGGCCGAGCCCCCGCCACGTCAGGCAGTCGCCCGCGCCCGCCCCGGACGCCCGCGGCACTTGGCCCGGCTCCCCGCTCCCGCCGCCCCCGCCGCCGCCGCCGCCGCCGCCGCCCCCGCTCCCTTCCCCGCGTGCAGCGCGAGCTCGGCCACGCAGGCCGGCCGGGCCCACTCGGTACACGCCTCGCAGCTGACCTGGTGCTGCCGCAAGCTGAGGCCGCTCTCGCAGCAGGCGGGAGGCCGGAGGCGGGGGCGGAGCCTCACCGTCACGTGGGGCACCGCGCAGGCGCAAGTGGACTTACGGGAGGGGGGCGCCGGCGGGGCGGGGCGAGGCTGAAGAGCCGGCGGGACAGGGGCTGATCTGCTGCGGTGTCGCTGGGTGCCTTTTGGAGGTGCAAATCTGTGCCCTTCTTTCCCTTTCTCCTTGCCTCGTTCTTACCCTCACTCGTTCTCTCATTGATGCTTCTTTGCTCGCTTGACTCTTCACACCCATTCATTTACCATCTCACTCATTGCCTCCTTGCACTCACTCCCGTTTCCAAGCATTCATTTACTCATCCCTTACCTCATTCATTCCTCCTTCTTCCATCCACTTCCCCCTTTCCACCGTCATTCGTTTCCTCGTCCTCCCCGCGTTACTTCATTCACTTCTTCATCACTTATTCACTTGTTTCCCCTCGCTCCTTCCTTGCCGCCCTCTCTCAGTCGCTCCTACCCTCATTCATTCTGTCTTCCTTTCCTTCCTTCCTTTATTGTCTGGGTTCCTCCCTCTGCCTCTTATTTCCTCACTTCCTTATTCACTGGCCCAGGCATTCTCCCCTTTCTCCTCTCCTTGTACTTTTCTTAGACGGACTAGAAGGTCCCTCGCCCCATGTTCGCTGTGGAGAGTGTAGACGAGCAAAGGCTTTATGAACAAGTGTTGATTTTCTTCTTTTCTGAGACTCTAGATTAAACCTGGTTCCCAATCCCAAAACTTACCTGTCCTGGGGAGTCCTTTGGCACCCACATTCTCTGCCTCACCTCCAGGAGGACCACACTCCAGGGGCACATACCTGTGGCAACACCCAAGAGTAGATCTGTAGAGCCTTCTTACAGATGGGAGCAAGTTGTGGGGGCTGCAATGTAGAGAATGAAAGGCACTGTAGGGGAATGCGGTTGCAAGCATGGCTCCTCATGAAAAAAGGGAGGGAAGAAAGAAGAAGAAAATAAGTAACAGAAAGGCTGGTTTAGGTGAACCCCAATTGCTACCCAGAGAATAGACCTTGCCTCTAGGAAAAGAGGCACCCAGTGGAGGTAGAATTCTTACCCATTAAGGCTCCCTGAAGCAGATGTCTCCAGCTGTGTTACTGAACACTTTCAAATAGTGATCAAAGTATTCTAGCAAGGAGATACCATCAGCAAATATATGGGCATGAGAGCCAACAAAGAATGAGAAGAAGGGGATAAAATACACCCAATCAACCAAGAGAAAGTTCCAGAAGTAGGGAATAGGAGAATAGGAAGAGATCTCTAAATCCAGGCTGTAGAACTAGTTTATGTAGTATGAAGTTCTTCCCACCCCAAAAACCTAAACTCCCTTTGGTCTCTGGATTTGAAGGGAAGATTCTCTCTTTCCCTTTGTCGTACAACAGTTTCCTCCAAGACTGAAGCATTCCATCCTTCAGAGAAGATCCTTAAGCAGGAAGGTTAAATTAAAAATTAAAAAATAAAAAAATAAAAACTTAAAATAGCTTCAGGAAGTCCCTGAAACTGACCAGATTCACTAGACCCTTCTGAAGTGTTAATCTAATTAATTCTTTTTTTTTTTTTTTTTTTTTTGGTTTTTCGAGACAGGGTTTCTCTGTGTAGCTTTGTGCCTTTCCTGGAACTCGCTTTGGAGACCAGGCTGGCCTCGAACTCACAGAGATCCGCCTGGCTCTGCCTCCCGAGTGCTAGGATTAAAGGCATGCGCCACCACCACCCGGCAATTAATTTTATCAATAAAAAATCAAGAGTCAGATATCAGGGTAGAAACCTGAAAAATCAGAGAAGCGGGGGAGCAGCCACAGTCGCTTCCTACTTCTGTGGTTCCTCCAACCAAAAGGGTCCAGATCCTCTCTCTGCCCTGCCTTACTACTTCTTGTCTCCTCTCTCTACAGTCCTCCAAACCTCTATGGTTAATTTTGGTCGGCTAGTGGCTGGCCCCCCCTCTGACTCCAAGCAAGCTTTATTTGTCAGAACACAATCAAAATATCATACAACACCGCTCCCTGCCAGAGTAAACAATAAAAGCTGAAAGTCCTTCTCAGACAGGTGAGGCTGAGCTGCACAGAAGACTCTCAGAAGAGGAAAGCTGTAAAGTAGACTCAGACCAGAGCAGCTGCCTGAACAAAGCAGAAACCTGGAAGAGATTTAGACCAAGTGAGACAACTGGGAAGGACACCGCAGTCCACTCACCTTCCCACAGGCTGTGCAGTTGGGCCAGGTCCCCAGCTTGTGAGCTGTCACCCATGCTGGTCGATGATGCAGCTGTCTCTGAGTCATTTCTGCTCCTGTAAGTGACCCCTCACCCATATTTCTGTAAGTAACCCCAATAAAACTCATCGGTTCACCAAATTGGACTTTGGTGGTACCCGTACTTTGGTCTGTTGTAGGATCCCTGTCTGGAGTGAGTAGACGTGTGTTGTCTTCCCAGGAAATTTTGTCACACGACACCCTTCAAGAACCCACTATGGCTGCCTATGGCCATGACAGTATATCTCTTCTAAGGAAGCTCCTCTTTGGACCTGAAGACCTCCTTCTCCCCTTTAGGGCCCCTCCCCCCCAATAAAGCTCTTCTGAAGGGTAATGTGTGTCCATTCTTTTTCATGAAGCTTCCAATGACAAACCAAAGTAAGGGTTCCACTGAAATCCATGTTTATGAACCAGTGTGTTCATTAGGCTTATTTAGAGGAGCCATTTATAGGGTGGGCCCAAAAAACTATCACTTAAAAGTGCCACCCTGTCGTTGAGGATGACCTCATAGAAACTGCGTCATGAAGTCCCAGTTTCAGTTCATCTTCCACTTCTTATATACTCTAGAATCTCCCAAGATCACGTGTTCGTAGGAGGAAGGCCAGAAGGAATAACTAGAGTGCCCGGTGAGAGACCTACAGTTCTTTTTTTTTTTTTTTTAAGACTTATTTATTTATTTGTTTATATATTATACAGTGTTCTGCCTGCATATATGCCTGCATGCCAGAAGAGGGCACCAGATCTCATTATAGATAGTTGTGAGCCACCTTGTAGATGCTGGGAATTGAACTCAGGTCCTCTGGAAGGGCAGCCAGTGCTCTTAACCTCTGAGCTGTATTTTTCTGCTCCTTTAGTTACCATGTCTAACAGGCAATCTCTACTCCAAAATGTCATGTTATATCTAGAGGAAAAAACAGTACTACAACAGTTATCTCGTCAGTCTTATTGGAGAGCAACATCATCCAGAGATCTTCAAGTGTTTGCCAAGCTAAAACAGATATAGGAAAGATTAAAGACAACTTATTAAAGAAAATACACTGATAAAAGTGACAGAAATGCAGTGGATACATTCTAAGAGAGAAAGGCACCCTTGGAAAATGGTAGATCACGGGACCTTCTAGCTGCCCCTCATTATCTCTGCCAGAAATCAGATCATGCCTCCTGCAATCTGTCCCCTAGGATAAAGAATTAACAGGTGTCTGCTGTGACAGAGCACGCTGGGCCTTGGTGGGGAAGGAAAGCCTCCTCCCTCCTGCAACTGCAAGATAAATATATGCTACTACTTAACACCTGCCTCGATGCCTGCTGGCATGTGGGCCAGGCCAGGCTAAGTCACATGGTGTGGAACTTTTTGGCATCTCCTGAAAATATATGAGTCACTTTCTTCCAGGCCCTCTGTCATGCTGTACACAGTGGTGTCACCTAAGGAAGCTCCTCTTTAGACCTAGGCCTGCTGTCCCCCTCACGGCCTCATCACACAGTAAAGTTCTTCTGAAGGGTGATGTGTGTGTCAGCCCCTTCCAGGAACCTGCTTCTTTTTAAGTTATAACAAGAGAGAATGGGAATTTTTTATAACAGTTATAGGAAGTTACTTGGTCTTACTGTTAGGATGGAGGCTGGTTCTGTGAGGAACTGATCAACAGACCCTCAAAAATAAGACATAGAAAGACAATGCGTTGGCCAGCTCAAGGTCCTAAAACAGGTATAAAGATAATGGTCACGATATGAAGAGAGTAAAAGTACTACCCTAGGTAGGCCAGCTGAGGACCCCCAAAAGCAAGACAAAAGGTACAAATAGGTATTAGTGGTCCCTGCTAGCTAAGTCAGATAAAGCACACTCAAGACCCCCTCTCCAGTGGAAGCATGTCCAGAGTGCTCTTACCCTTGCTCTTAGAAAGCTTTTCAACTCTAGGGTACTTAAACCTCTATCCACACTCATGCGTCTTCATCTTAGTTATTTTCTGTCTTTCTTTTTGAAAGATTTATTTATTTATTATGTATACAGTATGTATGCCTGCAGGCCAGAAGAGGGCACCAGATCTCATTACAGATGGTTGTGAGCCACCATGTGGTTGCTGGGAACTCAGGACCTTTGGAAGAGCAAGCAGTGCTCTTAACCTCTGAGCCACCTCTCCAGCCCTTAGTTATTTTTCTATTCCTGGAATAAAACACCATGACGAAGGCAACTTACAGAAGGAAGGATTTATTTCACCTACGGTTCCAGAAGGATAAGAATCTGTCATGGCAGGGAAATGTGGCAGCAAGTACCAGGTGTGGTAGCAGGAGAGCTGAGAGCTGACATCTCAAACCACGAACAGGAAACAGAGTGAACTGGGAAGGACAAGTAGCTTTTGAAACTTAAAGCTCGCTTTTTACTTCCTCCAACAAGACCACAAACAAGACTTAAGCCTCCTCAAACAGCATCACCAACTGGGAACTAAGTATTCAAATGCCCCAAAATACAGGGGACATCTCATTCAAACTACCACAGTGTTATATATCTGATTATAATAGACTGAGTTCCTGATAAAAAGAGGCCTAAAATGTTTTTTGCCCCTAAAATGTTTTTCCTCGTCTACCCTGGGAAGGGATAACAGGAGGGAGAGTTGAACCCCATGCCTGACAGTACAACAGAATAGACTAAAGGGAGAAGGTAGAAATAAATTTATGGCATGTCTTTAATCCCAGCACATCTGGAGGCAGAGGCAGGGAGATCTCTATGAGTTTGAGGCCAACCTGGTCTACATACTGAGTTCTAAGACAGTCAAAACTACATTTTGTTGGTTTTTTTTTTAAAGTAACAACAACAACAACAACACTAATCATAAATTTATGAAGAAGGCTCCATGTCTTACAGGAAAGAACAAGCTTTCCTTAGCTGGCGTTGATATGCAACATGAACAAAGCCTGCTAACTCACCTGCTTTACCTATGACTGTTACTCACTTGCAAAATCAACCTTTTCTCACATCTAAGTTCCTGGGTGACACCTTCCCTTTTCTCATGACTATTTTTCACTAGAAAATATTGTATATTTGGGGCTGGGAGAGATGACTTGATGGTTAAAAGCTCAGACTGCTCTGGCTGAGCATCCTCTTTGGACACCCACATGCTCTCACACTCGTGTGCAGGCACACAGACACACAGATACACACATACAATTTAAAAATAGCCGGGCGGTGGTGGCGCACGCCTTTAATCCCAGCACTCGGGAGGCAGAGCCAGGCGGATCTCTGTGAGTTCGAGGCCAGCCTGGGCTACCAAGTGAGTTCCAGGACAGGCGCAAAGCTACACAGAGAAACCCTGCTTGAAAAACCAAAAAAATAAATAAATAAAATAAAATAAATAAAAAATAAAAATAATAAATCTTTAAAATTTGGTTGTTAATAAGAGACACAGGAGACCCAACCTGAAGAATAGTTTCAAAGGAAACACAGAGCAAGGCTCTGGCGTTTAGGAACTTACATGAGAGAACAAAGAATTCTGTAAGCACAGGGCTCTGCCACCTCTGTAGAAAGGAGGAATGCTCTCCTCTGAGGCATATTGTTTCTAATCCAGTGTTCATTCTGCACTTCAATAAAGCTTTCTCCTCCACCAACCTCTGTCTCCGGTTTGTTGCTAACATTACAGGTAGCATGGCCTCCAGGCCCTCACACTCAGGTGGATGCTGACGCTGCCGGGCTTGGCCAGACGCGCCTTTTCTAGAGTGTACTACCGCTCCCTTGCTCACTCACATGGTAAACTCTTGACTGCTCTACCTCCTCGTGCCATTGAAGTTCTCCTGCTTTGTGAACATACACACTGAGACTTCTGAGGGGGTAGAGAGCAGAGGGAACTGCAGACCTCCCTGGAACATTCTGTCTTAGCTACAGCATCTGTGCTCACAAACCAGGCCACATACATCCCTGAGATCTTTCTCCCCTGAAAATGTGTGACAGGTCACCTGCTGTGACCCCAAAGCCTTTCTCCTCTCAAAGTTCTCACAAAAAGCTGACTCTTTCCCTTCTGACCCCCCTCACTGCCCCAACTCAGTCACCAGGAGTCACAGACAACCTGACCACAGGCGCATATTGTATACTACTTATCAGCTAAGCCTGGCTAAGGGGCCTCCCTCCTCCCTCCTCCCTGGTCCCTCCTCCCTTTGTAAGAACAAAACTCACTTTGCTAAAACCGAAGCCTGCCTCTTCCGAGCCCCATCCTACTGTGTGTAGCACTGCTGACTCTGCTAAGAAGCCTTTTACCCCTAACGACTGTCCATCTCTGCACTGTCTTCCTTGGTCGGCTCTGTCTCTGGTGTGTGGTAACCTCGGGTCATGAGGAACTTGTCAGGGCTCAAACCCAAGCTAACTGACTGAGGTGCCTATTTAACAGATCAAAGCAGACCTGGCCACCAGGCTCTCCCAGCTTCCCTCAGTCCCTACCCCATCCTACACTCCTCCAGCCTAGGGGCTGCCAGTCCTTCCGTGTATAACCCAGCCATTTGGGTTACCTGGTACTTTCTTGACTCTCCCCTCTCCTCACATGGCCCAGATCCGGGTAGTGTTCACTCTGGACTCTCCCAGATGTCCCTGCCTCTGGCTATGCTCTCCCTTTTATCTACAGTAAACCTTCTCCTCCACCATATGAGGAACCTGCCTGACTTCATTTTGAAGACAGGAGACACTATGCTGTATTTTTAAAAATAAGTTTCTATTTACTGTGAGAGTTGAGCTGCTTTCTGTTTCCTGGAAACTGACCTTCCCCAAACCATGACCTTGATTTGTTTTTGAGAATATCCTTACCTTCCCTGACCCCTCCCTAATCACATGTGGGTGACCATATGATTTTTTTTTAAGTTTTTTTTTAAATTTCCTTATTGCCCCATTGTCTCCCTTCTGTAAAACTACTCATGATTTTACTCCTTAAAAGGGGCCCAAGAGATGGATTTAGGGCTGCTTTTTTTTTTTTTTTTCAGAGCTGAGGACCGAACCCAGGGCCTTGCACTTGCTAGGCAAGTGCTCTACCACTGAGCTAAATCCCCAACCCCGTAAGGCTGCTTTCTTTAACCTGACTTAGGAGGCAGTCTCTGGCCAGCTCTTAGGTGCACCCCAATAAAAATCAAGCTTGCAGGGCTGGACTGATGGCTGCGAGGTTAAGAGCACTGGCTGTTCTTCCAGAGGTTCTGAGTTTAACTCCCAGCAAAACACATAGCAGCTCCGAGCCATCTACAATGAGATCTGGCGCCCTCTTCTGGCACGCAGGCATACATGCAGGCAGAACACTGTATACATAATAAATAAGTCTTTAAAAACACATCAAGCTTGCTTCAAATTTGGCT